CCATTACTCTTACTAGAAAGAAAGGAAGTAAAGTAAAATAGAGCTGAGCCTATGCAGAATAAGACTTGCTAGCCTGTCAAAGCAAGCTTAAAAAGTCATGTTTGAAGGCTAGATAGCGGCCTTAGGAACCTACTTTGATTGTGGTACCAATGAAGCTTTCACTCTAGTAGCTTAGACCATAGTGGAGCCTCCTACTCCTTCCCTTAGAAGGGAAGTCAAAAGCCGGTGCTTTGGTTAACGGCTTCCGAAGTGACTAATCGTAGCCAACTTATTAAAGATGTATGCTTTCTCTTATTATATCTAATATGTATGTGATTGCTTTATATAGGAGATGAAAGAAGTCGACGAAAAAGTAGAGATGAGAGAAGCGAGACTGAAAAGGAGAGTCCGTTTTTTCGAGTGAGTGGCTTATGCTCCTTCGATTGACAATGGTTGGTCTGAGTTGCCATCCGATCCAAAGAAGGAAGCGAGCAGCCAGGATAGAAGAACCAAGGTATGAAGTGCTCGACTGAAGGGAGAGGGATGAGAGCCAAGCGAGCAACCCGTGTGAATAGAACGAGCAAAGGAAGCTTTTAGGCATCTTTCTCGCAGTCAGTGTCGGTACACTGTGGGTGGTAATAGGGCGTGGCAGGAAGGGTGCTCGCCTATGCGATTTTCTTGCTTTGTTTCGTTCTTCATATGTTGGTTGGCGACTCTATCTCGTTTGTAGGAGTGCCTATGCTTTATTTCCCGCTTGGGAGAAAGAGAGAATATCTGGTCCTATGCGGCTAGGTGATAAACGCATAAACCGCTTTTCGAAGGTTCGACGCAGTTGACTGGGATACTACAACTCCATGCGGTTGATAAGCCAAGCGGTTCTTGTACTTTCGTTCTTTTTGAGGGGTTCTGCTCGAGATCAATTCATTGGTCCGCTAAAGGAATGAGAGATGGGGCAAGAGATGAGCTTTCCCGCTACCTTGCCTTTAGTAGTCGAGAAAAGGGAGTAGTCGAGAAGAGAAGAGGTATGGAAAATCAGACTGTGGTTGGTTCCATAGGGATAAAAAGAATTGGTATGATCAACGCCGTTTAACCACGATTGCTCAACTGTCAATGTGCAACTTTCCTTGTTCTTGTTAGTAGCCATTCAGAGCGGACAGGCAAAGAGAAGTCCCAATGCTTTCGTCTCAGGCTAGAAACTATAGATTCTCATGCGCTTGAACGGGATGAGTTTCAGTTTCCCTTTCTGATTTTAGTATTCGCTTCATCTTGACTTAGGAACATGGATTTGACCTCGAGCCGCTCTATTAGAATGGAATTCCAGGGCGCTTAGAGAACGTCTTTGAATACCTTTAACATGTATTTTCATTTTCCTTGTCGTACCCGACCCCATCCAAAGTGATCCAATAACTTTATTAGCTTCTCACGTTGAGTTCTAATCGATACAAAGGACGGAGATTGGCAAGCCACTCAACAAGCAAATTCAGAACCTTGCTCCCTCTTCCCTTGGATTCTTCCTCATTGCAATCCGAGACAACCATCAGCAATGGGGCTAGCTTCTCTTTTCGAGTACCACTCTTCTCTTATTATCTAAGGTTGCACAGCTATTCTATAGATAGCATTGTCTACTCCTCAGCTGACAGAAGGAACCTAATTATTCAACTGGTCCCTGTCTTCTTTTGACTGTTAAAGAGCGCTAACGACTAAGAATTGTTTTATTGACTAGAAAGTGGTAGTGGTAACTCCTGTGCCATTCATAGCTGTAACGACTACAACCGATGTTAGGAAAAGATTCTATCCGACGGGAATCGAAAATAGATCACTTAATTACCTAGGATTCTCCGCATTACCTTGATCTAGACCCCCTATTAGTTACACACCTCCGTCCAAAAGCCATCTCTAAGGGCAAAGCGCTTTTTTCTATTCGCCGACAAGCAGCTATGCGGGGAATCGAGAAAAGAGCTTATTTCAAGCAAGCAGTCCCGCTACTTGCTTTCTTAGTTAGAAAATTCTCTTCTAGTCCTCCTTCCCGTAACCGAAAGTCACTCTCGCTTAACTGACATAGCATTTAAGATTCGCCGACGTCGGGAAATAGAAAATCAGTCTTACCTGTCCTATCAAGAAGAAGGTACGAAAGGACGGCATACTCTGTCCCTTAGTGAAAGCGTGAAAGCTCAATCTCTAAGTGTGAAACTATCCTCCTCTTTTTGAGCTAAACCTATTGCTCGCCCCTTAGTGACTCCTTTCTACAATTGAATTGATCCTTAGACCCTCCGTAAACTGCATGGTCTAGGTCAGATGCAAGATCAAGACCCTGATGCGCAACGTCGAAACCCCGTATTTTAAATTCAAAAGTAATTTCCCTTCATACGAGCCCACTGGAACTAGAGCATCTTGTCGAAAGCCCGTACCCGTATTTTTGATTAAAACCTCTTCTTACCTTATTCTTGACCACAATTAGCACAGCTTCGAAGATCGTTATCTTTTATTCCTATATGTGACAAATGAATCAAATTGAGAACTAGAGCGAACGTCCTAGCTTTCCGGGCAGTAAGGAATATCTTTATCGTTGTTCCACTTTTGAATATGTTAGTTCAGCAGGGAACTTTCCCGAAAGCTTTGCTTATTCGTGCAAAGATCCAGCATTCCTTCACTTATCATATAGAATAACGATCGACAAGTCCAGAGTGTGCACCAACGAGAGATTGAAGTACGCTTGCAAGATTCTCCGAATAGCAGCATTCTTCTCTACTATGTGATTGAGAAGTCAGTTAAGTCAGTCTACTGTCCCGGCACAGAAGGCATTGAATACGGCTGTTCAGGCTAGCAACTGATTCTCCGGTAAGATAGATTCAGTCAGTTCCGGCCGGCATTCAATAAAGAAAATAAATGGGCATTGAGCTAAGTCAAGCTTTTTTCCAAGTGTTGTAAAGAACGGGCTACAACGAAAGTAAAAAAGATGAAAACTTCCGTCACTGCGCACCACTTTGGGCTCTGGTCCACTTTCGCTCCGTTTACGCGAATTGGTTGTATCTGCCCGCTAGGAACGCTGGCATCTGTTGACAACAGTCCCGCTAAAGGCCGCTGTCTCTTCTCGGCAAGGTAAGTTAGTTAGGAATCATAGCAGTCGGTGAAGCTTTTTCTTTGTTATGCACAGATGGTTGGGCGCAGCTGCTAAGGAAAAAGTGCTAAAGCTTTAGCTGCTTGATTGACCGAAGAGCCTGACTACCAGAGCTAGTAAGCTAGCGGAAGAGCTCAGCTCCTACTATAAGCTGATGAAGAGCTACTATCACCAAGAGAGGGCGAAGAAACTCATTAATTCATTGATGAGGGCTCCCCATTCTCTTTCTAAATCTGCAGTCCAATCCTTCCTAATTTCGAAACTCATCCTTAAGTTACCAGGGGCAAGGTGGACATGAATCAAGAGAATAAGCTCTTTAATCAGAATACATAGTTGAATTTAGTAAGAAAAGAAATGATGGTTGACTCATTCAAGTGAGAAATCGGATCAAGAAAACACCGCCCAAATAAGCTTCGCCATGAGTGGATCAGGTCCTTTAAGGCGATCCCGCGAAGCCGGTCCCCGGTGTCTAAGATCCTATCTGACTATTGAGGAGAGCTGATCTTCACGACGAACTTTTGTTGATAGTGCTTTGCTTAACACTAAGAAGTTCGATCATCCAACGTAGAGAGAAAAATCTTGCGGGCAGTTGTTGTGAACAAAGGAATGAATCTTTGGGTTTCCTCTCAACAACAGAATTTTGTTCAGGAGTTTCAGGGCAAGAATGATAAGAAAGAATGCCTCTTTATTTAAAAAGAGTGTGAAATTTGAGTTCATGAGCATTATCGGCTCTAACAGCTTTGGCTACCCTTTTGTATTGAGTTTCTATGAGCTTTAGAAACCCTGGGAAGACAGTGAGAACCTCACTTTGACTTTTGAGAAGATAGACCCAAGTAGCCCTTGAATGATCATCCACTATGGTTCAAAAATATCGAAAACCTTCTGTTCTGAGGTTTCAACTGAAAAAGGGCCCAAAATGTCAATGTGAATCAGATCAAAAGGTTCATCACAAATGTTATTATGAGATTTAAAAGGTAAGTGTTTTTGTTTAGCCAAAGGACAGATTTTACAAATGGTCTGATTGACCTTTTTATTCTTATGAGTAGGGAGTCAATCTGAAAGGATAGCAGTTTTAGAAGAAGAAGGATGGAGCAGAAAGATAGAAAGAGCTGTTGCTGGAAATAAGAGAAATAGTCTAGTTATTGCATCCCTCTCACAAACTATCAATTTCATAAGAGAAGAAAGATCGTTTTTAGAAAAGAAAGAACGTTTTGATTCGAGGCGGATCCCTTTTTTCTTTGCCTTTACGAGTTGAAAAGAAAGTGGTAACAGGTAGTAGCTCTGGTAGAGTGCAGGACTGTAAATCCTTCTGTGAGCGGTTCGAATCCGCAATCACTTATAGTTAGTTTCATCGATATTTTTTTGGTGTTCAGTGTACCCTGAGTACAAGATCGAAGAGGATCCTCATTCCCTCTTTAGTCAATCCCAATCGAAAAATCAGCGGAGCCAATGGCTTGATCATAATGCTGCGGCGGGGTCAGAGAGCCGGCAAACCGTTTCTGGTTCTAGTAGAAAGGGATTTACTGATTCGGGTTGAGGATGACGAGCAAAAGAGTGGAGGAAAAGCTGTTATATAGTTAGTCTATTTCTATCTTCCTATCTTTGTCATGTCAGTCTTATTCCTATCTTGGTATCTTTGTCATGAGGTATGCAGCACACTCAACCAAAATATATAGAATTGGATCATCAACGGGTGTGCTAAAGAAACGCCTCTACGTAAACGGATGAACGGGATCATCATATAGTGAGCTTCGTTTGGGATACTTAAACCCACACAAATTAGCTCTTTAGCTGATATACGACCACCAACTATCTGGCTATCGAGAAGATCTAATATGCAGGGAAGTAATTCAATAGAATAACGCAAGGTTCGATAAATCAATTGATGCAAAAGCAGGGAATTAGACCACTCCATCCTTTATTTCACCTAGGAGCCATCTTAGCAGCAGGGCTTTCGACTCTCGAATGTCAAAGAAGGTCCTTTTCTATCATCTGAGCTTTCTCACCTGTGCCCTCAGCCCTCAAGACTTCGCCAGACCTTGATTTTCGATTGAAGATAATCGTTGCTTCGCTATCCCGATACCAAAATGGGAAGATCTCCCTTCTGGGTTGGTAGATGAATTGTTCTGGGTAACAGGCGGTGGACATCTTCGTTGACAGATCTGAGTTATCGACTTGGTCATATGCCCTAAAGTTACCCTAAGCCCTCGGGGCTCCATCCGAACCTGTGACTCAACCTTCTCTTTAGCGGAGGAGAATAGTTCCGAGTGAGTGTGCTCCCGAACCAACGATTTGTATACTCTTTGCCCCAGGTACCAATACCCATGTCTTCCTGCTTCTTTGATTCTCTTACTCTTCAAAAATAAAAGCAAAGCACACCGCTAAACAAAAAGCTGGTATTACCAACCTTCTCAGAGGTTAGGCGATTCATTGAGTCGATCAGTCATCTTTTTCCCAAGACAACTTTATTGTGTGTAGGCGCACAAAGGAAGATCGTAGAATCAGGATTACTCGTCCACTTTCATCGCCTTTTGTTGATCCGTGTCATCCTTGCTGCTTCATCCAATTATTCTTTATTCCTCCTCTCACTTGGGCGAAACACTAGAAACGGCCATTAATTTACGGATCGGTCATACAAGGAGCATACCTACGAATACTTCGGCGTGTGCTGCATTCGAGTGGTTAACAGCATACATCTATTCCCAAATCCCAACGGAGATAGATAGTATCCTTCTGTGCTATCCCCTATATCCTCGTAGTAGGGTTGAGGGCAGCGAAGTCTCCCGTTTATCCTGTCTCCTTCTCTTGGTTAGTGCGTACTACTTCCCAACGTATCTTATATAGAGACATTGGAGGAGCCTGATCTTCCATCTACGCAGAAGAGATGCTTGAGTTCTTCCATCCGCGAAGGCGGTGTGCTCAAATAAGTTAGTTTGTTACGAGACTATCAGGTCCACCAGGATAATTCGAGGTGGATAGCCCTGACTGACAGGGGACTAAGATTAGGAAGCATCCACAAGAGCGAAAGAGCCCTTTTATGTTTGTTTCGCTAATCTTATAGATTGGAAGTTTGCCCAGCACAGAGTAGTAGGGTTATGCTTTCGAAAGTCTTTTCGGAGTATAAGGGAGGTCCATCTTTAGAGATCTGAATGAAAGTTCTGAGCTTAATGGATTCCCGGAACCCCAGGACTTTAGAGAGTCCCAACCCTAAGAAGGCTTGCTCGGGTTGAAAGATGTGATGCAGCACAGACAGAGGTGCGATAGTAAGTCAATTGATCAGGAGAGGTGGTAGCTTCTGGTCTCTCAAGCTGACAATGGTAGTCTAGATAGATATAAAGTTCTATGCTGTTTGCTTGCTCAAGGCTAGAAGCAGGAGTCTGTTATTGATAGCTCCCGTTGCCATTGGCTGTTCCGCCCGTGGTCTTTCAGATAGACGTTCAAAATCAAATTCTTTTAATCCTCTCCTCCTGGGCTACCAGTATATGGAGATGGTTTGATTCTGAGAGTTGAGGAACACCAAGATTTGATTGACATCATCTACGGCTTTGCGCCAATATGAATTATGAATATAGGTTAAGTGAAATCTGACAACCAGCACACTGCTTGATCTCATTAGCAGCTCCGGCGAAGCAGCACAGACCAAGGTAAGCACAGGATAGGCAGTATCTTTATGAAGTCTCGTAAGGCTCAGATCTTTAATAGAAGTAAACTTCAGGTCTTTGTTCTAATAAATAGCCATCTTCGTCCTCAATGGCAAGAAAGAAGGCTGCTAGGAGTAAGTGGGAAGTGCCAGGGTAAAGCCCCTGAATGGAATCGATCAAACGGATTCTGCAATTTCATCTCTTCATAAGCGATGAATTCTTGTTTAGCCTTAGTTGGGATTTTGGACTCAGAAGCCGAAACACAGTTCTTAGATCGATTAAAAGCCTGCCGCTTATCGACACTCTTTTTCTAGGATCTTAGGCAGCGGTTGAAGTTACCAGGGATGGAACCATAGGGTGCGTTTAGCAACAAGCAACTCGACTATTAGAACATGCGTAAACAGTGAAGGAGGCAACTCGAGTGAAGAAGCAAAGTTATGGTGGTATTGTCCAATTTGCCCCGCTTTTCTCCATGGCTGAGGACTATTCGACTTGTGAGTCAGATTCCGATTTAGTGGAGGAACTTCCTTTTGAAGGCACCCGAGAGCCTATATAAGATTTACCAATTTCCTCAGCTAGATGATCAAAGTCTTGGATGCAGGATGGCTCCAATCTGACAGATGTGGCACCAAAACCTAAAGATTCCTTTACTAGGGTTTGGTGGAATGATAGCCCAAAGAAGATTTTTGGTGTAGAAAGTCTCAATTCAGGATCTTCCGCTGTACGGATTTCCTGGGAAACGAAGTCATAGGCACGTAGGTTCAGAGCCAGACCGATCACTCACAATATCCCTGGGCAAGCCAAAGATTTTGACCACATGCTTAAGGAACAACTCCGCAGCATCATGGACGGTGCATGCATGTTGCGCTGCTATGAACACAGCATACTTAGAAAAGCGATCCACCACTACCATCACGGACCTAATCTTTTTAGGAATGGAACCCACAAACAAGGTCTTGAAGAGCCTTGTGTTACCTAACTAAAGAGCTCCCAAGGCCACCTGATTCGGAGTAGAGCACTCCTATTTACACTTCGATTCCGCCCACTGATTCAGATCCAGCTAAGGCCCGCAACCAAAGAGGAGACACTTGCACCGGGGTAATGCTACCACACAGGTTTTGAGGCGAGGCGCTGCCCTCTTTCGGGCAATCAACTCTTTCTTGTACCTGGCACTAGTCAAATTGTATCTCGGTTCATGGCATGCCACAACGACTCTATCGGCTTATAGTCATTCCTGGCACTCGGCGCATGTCTTTGATCAACCCCGGTTCCGTCACTCGTATCTGGTTGAACCAGTACTTCCTTTCCGCCGTTCCTAGGGACCACCCACTCCCGTTCCCATGAGTGATCCGAGACAGTACGCGGAGATTAATCGGTCTCTTTTGGTTCTCATTCCAAAAGTTGAGCAGCCTGTTAGCATAAAAATGGCAATTATCCTCCTTCTATTCGTTCTGGATACGGGCCTAGTCCTGAGTGCGCTGTCTGTCTTCTCGGCTGGCCCAAACAACGGGATTGGTCCTGTGGGATTAGCACCAAAATTCCTCGGCATCTCATCCTCCTGTTGCTGGTCATTTCCTAAAGGATCGAAGGTTCAGCCGACGCCTCAAAGTGGATTTGTTGTGCGAAGGGTGCGACCGGGATTTAGAGTTAGAATAGCGGGGAAGACTTGACCTCAGGCAGCGTGAAACCAGTTTATTTCATTCGATGTAGTGGTCCGATTGCCTAGTGGAAGCCCTGAGGCACTTGATTCTTGCGTACGCTCGGCTCCTCTACCAATCACCACAGCGCGAGATGCGCAAGAGTGACCCATCTCTCCACACCAACTGGACCATACAATACACTCTTTATAAGAAAAAAAGATTTGGAACCGAAAGATAGGAAATAAATTGACTTCCAGAGCGGAAGGGAATACTTAACCACGCCTCGAGTCCCAGTCTCCTAGTGGTGAGATGGTAAAGGGCAATGTCCGGTTCTGGCCAAGAGATGTCTTTGCTCCGTCCCCTTCTTGTTGGTTGGCACAAGCCCTTGTAGTAATAAGTCTTTCCTCCGGCCGGATCGGATGTTAGAGTCAATTCCATTGTAGGTTTGACCATTAAGTGAATGCAAATATAGGTAGAATTTGAATCAACGACCTAAGAGTCTTCTTTTGCCTATCGTAGTTACCTTGATGTGATAAATGGTCCAACTTTCTTGAAAGATATCAGATCTTGAAAGTCCTGCTCATATACATACTAATATGATCGCTACCAGGTCATCCCACTACACACCATCAAGCAACCACTACTGAAGCTATCAACTCAATTCTCTCGTTCGAATGGGGAGATAGATAAAAGAAACGAAACTCTATAAAATATCATAAGAGAAGAAGATTTTCATTCCAGCTTAAATAAGTAAGACTTGACTCTTTAAAAAATTCCGATCAACAACTTGGAGGGATGGCTGAGTGGCTTAAGGCATTGGTTTGCTAAATCGACATACAAGAAGATTGTATCATGGGTTCGAATCCCATTTCCTCCGGCGCGGAAGTGAAACGGGCGGGCGAAATGAGAAGAGCACTACTTAGTGACTAGGAGCGGGGAGCCCGTTGCGCGTTTTTTTGTTTGACCGGCCTATCTTCATAAGTAAGCTCCCTATGGCCGTCCAGTCCCTGGGCGGCTCTCGGTTCTTGAGCATGTTGGGAGATTAGTCGTCAATTGAAAGAGCTGCTCTAAAGCTTGACGAAGAAGTTTTCCCTATTAATTAGATTAGTAAAGGGCTTTTCCCTTACTAGTCAAGTGGTAAGGTAGGGCGCTCTTCGATGAAGAAAAGAAGAGACTTTTGGAAAAGTGGTTCAGCTCAGCTGGTTAGAGCAAAGGACTGTAAATCCTTGTGTCAGTGGTTCGAATCCACAACCACTTCTATTCTCGGAGCTGAGGTATATGAAGAATGGCCCTTTGGTCCTTTGGACACGTAGCCGAGAGCGAGCCGGATTTTTAAAATTCAAGTGAAAGAAGGAAGAAGGCAAAAAGCCGTATAGTGCAGGAGGCAGATGAAAAAAAAAAGCAATTACAGTGAGACGCGAGGTGTAGCGCAGTCTGGTCAGCGCATCTGTTTTGGGTACAGAGGGCCATAGGTTCGAATCCTGTCACCTTGATTAATGTCTTTTTTTTGGAACCTTTGTTTTGGAGTTTTCCCAAACCTATACCTTACTCATCTTACTAAGAAAATGGGGCTTATGTTTTTCAGCCGCATCGCACTGCTGCATAAACAATAGATCCGCTGGGCTGGATGAGCAACCTTCTATCTGGCCTCTGTACTAGTAGTAGAGTTGCTTGCTACTTTCAATCATAAAACGAAAATTGAGCAAGGCAAGGGAGAAAAGAAGTTGTCCCCTCCTCTCTGGTAACCCGCCGCCGGTCATATAGAGCGCTCCGCCCGCCCCAGCATATGTATAAAAAAGAGGGAAGAAAGAACAACCGTTTGACTTTGGCACATGAGGTGGCGGGTTTGGCTAGGTAACATAATGGAAATGTATCGGACTGCAAATCCTGTAATGACGGTTCGACTCCGTCCTTGGCCTACACCTTCATGACCAGAAATAACTGGAACAAAGGGAAAGCCCACTCAACTAGTAACATACGGACACAAACAACAAAACTACTTGTTACAAATAACATCTTGTTGTTGCATCGAAACATATAAATGTTGACTAATCTGGCTAACATTGAACTTGGTAAAATGAAATGGTTGAATAATTTAAAAATTAGATTATTCGGGAATACACATTGAATGCGAAGATTACGCATTTCATTTCTGGTAGTAGATCCATAATCAAAAAAGTGTTTGTGATTGTTCCAGAAGAAATGAAACAAAAGATACGGTAGAGCTAGGACAGTTATTGTATGAGGTCTACCCAATGCTAAATGCAGAGGCGCATAATAGATCGATATGAACATCATGAGCTGTCCCGCAATAAAACCAGTTGTTGCTGATACTTTCTTCTCGGTTCCTTCTTCTCCTTCGTCCATAACCCGAGCTCGGAGAAGGAAGAGATAAGAGGGCCCTATGGAGAATGTGGTCAGAAATCCATAATAGAGTCCGACCACAACGACCGAATTTATTATCTTCATGCATAAGTATACTAGATTACCTAGTATAAAAGATTTAAAAACCATCACAAACCTCCCCTTTTTCTTTTCTATTTCACAATTTCTGGATTATTATATGATGATTTTGCAACTTTCCATATATAGAAATAGAAAGAGATAGACTAGAAACGACATCTCTTATGTCAATGACACCAAAGGGATATTAAATGAATGGAATTGGGATATGGATAGAATATAATGAAATAGAGCCGCTTTGAGGTTCCCTATGAAATGAGGCATGGAACGGAGCCACTACGAAGAAGTTCCGGGGGTTACGAAGGAAACTTCGAGTTCATATTGGTCATGGGTTGAGAACGGGAATTGAACTCTATGAGATCTAATCTCCCGTTGTTCCTCAGTAGCTCAGTGGTAGAGCGGTCGGCTGTTAACTGATTGGTCGTAGGTTCAAATCCTACTTGGGGAGATTTGTTAGTTATCGCTTTTATGACCTAACGGCCCCTGTCCTTCTCCTTTGTTTCTAAACTAGCTGAATCGTGTCAAAAGTGGAAAGTTGATTGTTGGTTTTGATTCCTCACTCTCGTATAGGTGAACTTGGTTCGTTAAATTCTTAGGAAGAAGAAGGATCAACTGGGAATGAATGGGAAGACTGGAGTAGTATCTCTTCATTAGTCGGAAGGAATTTGTCTCCACTAGCCTCATTCGAAAAAGAACAGAATCCGAACAAACAAGAAAAGGGTTTAGGTAGGATAGTGCGATGTAGTCCAATGGCTAAAGCTCTGCCAGCTTCTTGTAGACTGAACTCTCTTTAGGCTCCGAGTGGTTTTCGGGTGGGATGGTTGAATTTTATTCGCCACTAGTGGCAACGAAGTTTTTGGTAATTTTAAAGGGGGAAGGCTTGCAGACCACTCATTTCATTCATTCAGTGCCTGCGGTGAGGCGCGACCCACAACAAAAACAAAGGGGGAAAGCTTGCTTACTGTAGCCCTCTTTTAGTAGACTAGGCTTGGTAAGCGTAAGCTATTTAAGTAGGCTCGAGAAGGGTAGGGCTCGCAGCTTCGCCGGAAGCGACGAAGGGGGGCTGGGGAAGGCCGACGACTACATGAGGGGGAAGCTGTCGTAGAAGCTTTGTCCCTTGCTTTACAGAGATTGTTATGAATTGACTAAATGACTAGATTCTCCCGGAACGCTAGCTAAGCTAAGAAATAGTATTAGTTCCCTTCAATCAAATCAATAAGTTTCTTTTTTTATTGATTCAGGGAAAAAACCTCCTTCTTAGAACCCATTGAGGGGGCCTCGGCCCGGGAAGGGGAGAGTGGCCGAGTGGTCAAAAGCGGCAGACTGTAAATCTGTTGAAGTTTTTCTACGTAGGTTCGAATCCTGCCTCTCCCACTTGTTGTAGTTTTAGCTTGTATATGTGAAAAAACGAGATTTTCTTTCATAGAATAACTCTTTCACATAAGAAAGTGGAGGCAGGCTTGTGGGGATACGATCTAAAATGATTCCACATGAAAGAGGACCGGGCAATCGCCCTCTTGAGTAATGAAGAAGCGGGCTAGTCCCCGAAAATGCCCGTTAATAAAGCAAGTTGGGGAAAAAAATCTTCCATATAATCAAATAAGGCTTCCGCGTTGTAACAAGCCTTAAGAGCGGGATGGAGCGGTCGAAGACGGTCGGTTGCCCGAGTGAACGTCGAAGGTATGTGCGCCTTTGGAAGAACTCCTTTAATGAATCCCTTCTCTCTTGGTTCGATGGGACTAAGTTGCATGAGTAGCCAGGTGGTAGCTTCTAGTCTGATTCCTGTGATTGCATGTTATAGGTAGGAGAGTGCTTACTGTTGCTGTTGTGATCCCTTTGTTCGTGGTACAGCCAAGCGGGGAACCACCAAGTGCAGCTAAAGTAGGGGCTTGGCTGCGTAGAATATCTATCTTGTTCATGTCCCTGCCCGGGATTTCTTCCTTGGCTGTAGCTTCGCTCCTTGGGTCTACTCCCCGTTTTTCTGGAAGGTTCTACCTAGATGCCGGAGGAACCCATTCCCTTCGTTGATGTTGTAGCTTTCGTTGTTTAGAGGGCGCATGAATGGGGCAGCTAATTAATTGCATAGTAGTGCTGCTGTTCCTGCAAGCACGAAGTCCGCGCTGTAGCTTCTGTCATTTCATTAGTATTCCTCTTCTCCTCCGTTGGGAATAGGTTGCATTAAGGGAACAGGTATGTAGGCTTTAGCCGGCTTCTCCCTGTGCTTACATGGGTTTATTGCAGCTATCCCCTCGCATTTGTAGCTCTTGAGCAGCCAAGCTCTAATCAATAGGTTCTAAAGTCGACTTCGTCTCGTTATTCTGTGTTAGGTTTGTAAACCTAAGGTGTACTTCCCGAGGAACGCCAGTTAGTCGACTAAAGGGAGAGGAACGCCTATCTACGGTTTAAGCAGTCTAATCTCACTCTCTCGTCCAGAACAACTTCTTTGGGTTGACTTTTCTGTACATGGAGGGGCGGAGCGGTTCTGTTAGGTTGTTTTATTGGATTGCAACTGGGCATTCACTGCGAGCTCTTCCGAGGAACCCCTTGAACAAACAAAAAAAAGGGTAATTAGTTCTGTTTTAACAGACCCCTTGTTCCATAGCTGCTCCCTATCTCGCTAAGCTACCTAACAAACAGTCTCGCTCTATCTCGCTAACTTACTGACGACCTACCTAACTTTTCTCTCTCAATAACTCTCTCGTCTAGGGCATCCGCGCCTGAGAATGCTGTAAGCTCCCTCTCCTCTCTAGACAAGTGCTTGAGTCATGACTTCGCCCTCTCCTTTTCAGTCGAGTTGCTAAAGTACCTCTCGCCAAGACGTCTTTTCCAGTGTCGATCATCTTGCTTTCCCGAATTCGTTAGATTGCCACCAGTTCCAGAATTGGGAGAACATAGGATTGGTAGTTGGGCTCTGCTCGCTTGGTTGGTCATTCCCTTCTGTCTTGGTTGATGGATAGGTGAGCGCATGCGGTTACTTCCGAACGAACCGGTCGATGGCAAGCTTTAGCTTAGCTGGCTAGCGGAACAGAAGATGGGTTAATGGGCTCTTAAGGCTTGGGATTTTATCCACTCGATAGGAAACGATCTTCAAAGAAGACACCTCTCCCGCTTCTGTGACTCAGCTTCATCGTACAAGGGACTTTTAGCTCATCATTCCACTTCGACTGGTAGGGGTTTTCTATTAGTGCACTTCGGTGGGAATAAGTCTTCCTCTTTTCTTTCGGAAGGAGAAAAAGATGCTTCATTTGGTTCCCTCGGATCGGTAAATCCGAATTCGTGACCCAAACTCTATCTAGTTTAGTTACATCAAAGGTGGCTGCCGAATAAAAGGGGAAACTTTGCCTGCCAGATTGCCTTCGGTAACCCTAACCCAGTTATCAAAAGAAGGCGCCAGTTCGGCTTTCAAGAGAGGGGAGCGAGCTACACATAGTGAAGCGAGTATTCGATGAACACGAAGGCTTTGATGAAAGGAAAATTGACATTTCAAGTAGGTAAAGTAGGGCGCTTAGGCTGGCTGAAAACAGATAAAGGAGACATCATGTGCTTGGACGAGTTCCTCCGAGGAATGCCTTAGACGGATGAATCCCGCTGGTAAATACGGCGGGATAGGATCCACTCTTGCAGCTGAACTTCTTTGTCTATTTCTCTATAACCTCGTATATCTTTTTACTGCGCCCGAGAAAGAAAAGAGCAAGGGTAAGGGCCCCGGGAGAAGCCACTGACTGCTACTTCCTCCGCTACAACTGGTGGTTATGGATGGAGAAAAAGAGGGGAGCTTTCGATTTTTAGGAACTTCTTCTAGTTAGTAGCGATGAATTAGAATGAGAGGATCCATCCAAATTGGGGAGAAAGAGACGTATCCGACGAAAGCAAGATCTATGATAATAGATTCAGTATGGATTCTCTTGTAGGTAAGTTTTAGCTTGAGCTTGATCAGGATCCAATCTGTACTATATATTTTGAAACATTTGTGAGATGCCAAAGAGAGTTCGAACAAGGTTTTGAATCAACAGGATCTAATCTACTGCTACCCCTCGAAATGGAATTGGTAGGAATGGAATGCCGTGAACCCAGGATTAGGCCTCGTTAGCTCGCTTACTCTTAGTATAGCAGGTAACCAACCTTCTTCCCTTTATGGTCTAGCTTTGATTTCACTCAGAAAAGAAGAAAATGATAGGACCTTGATTCTGTCAAAAAGTGAGTCATTTTCCTCCTCAAAACCCTATACCCCGTAAGCCATCTAGCCCCTTTTTCCATTACGTAAGCAGTTCGAAGTCTTCAATGTATTACATTCCTTCATCCGGGGAGGTTTTCATAGCCTAAACAGAATAGAAATCATAGGTCTCTCCGTATGTACCTTTAGCGCTCAGTTCGGAAGTAGATTTCTTTCGTTCCTTCAGTTGCAGCAAGGACTGATTTAGCTCTTTCTTTAGTCTCTATGGCTTGGTGAGTTGTCCAAAGCCAAGGGGCCCTACACTTAACAAGGGAGCCACTCTGCCAGAGCTTCACTCTAGGCCTCTCACGTCGGTAGCTATCCGTAGATCACTATTGGACGATCTTCATCTTTCTCCGAATTATACTCTTCTTTCTATCTTGTTGCGGGGAAGTTCAGTCATATAGAAGGTCTAATCACGAGCAGTTCCAATCCCAGCCTGCCTAGGCATCGAAGAAAACATATCCATATCCCATGTTATCGCACTCGAAACCATGCTAGCTCATGTTGTTGGTATATCACCTTCAACCGCAGGGGCCGGAGGCGCCTACTAACTCTGTCTCGTCCCAGGCTTTCAACAGCAGGCATGTAACCTTCAAAAGAAGCAATTGAGGATGGAAGCAATCGACCCGGACTAATGGACCTCTCCCAGCAACAGCCTTTGATGATCTTCCTCCGCAAAGCCGTTATTCCACTGCAAGTCAAGATTTTCCTTTTGATCGTAATCGGGATTCGACCAAGTCAACTGCCTTTCCTGAAGCAGATGAAACGGCAGATATTTGAAACAAAACTAAGGAAAGTAGCATTCCGAGTACAAAGTTTGACTAATTTGCTCAGTTGCACTGTGAAAAGGTACCGGAAGGAAGAATGAAAGCTAAACAGCTTGGAGTTCCCATTCCGAACGGAGAGAGATAGATTCAACAGAGGCTTTCCTAGGAAAAAGAGAGGGGATATATTGAAAAGAGAGCAGAAATCCCATTACAAGCTGTAAAACAGAGCTTACAACAGTTGTATCGCAGTGGACAGAGTAAGCAACATTCATAAGAAGAAGAAAAGGGTTTTTTTCCTAACAAGCCAGCTTGTGTCGGCAGTTAGCAACAAATGCATGACAAATCCATTCGCTTGGCAGGAGAGACAGGATGCAACAGGTATTCCGTAGAGAAGGTATAAATCTATACTATTATTCAAACAAAACAAGAAGTTCTCTCTTGACTCTTGGTACCTGCCTCAGCTGCACCTACTCGAAAGCAAAGGAAACAAGAAAAGCAAGGCAGCTACGGACCAATACTTCATACATCCTTCCCGGACGAGACAAGAAGGGATCTTACAGACAGGAAGCACCGCCCGGAACAGCAACAACTACAACGACGGGTAACTCGCTGGAAAAAAGAAGTCACAACTAGATCAAGACCTAAGGAGACTTCGAGCACACATCTTCCCTATCACGGCTCATACTAAGAAAGACTCTCTAGTAATGACAGAGCAGCTAGCCGCTCAATCGTGCCTTACCTCAGTAGATGCATACGCACAACCCGGAAGGCACTCCTTCCCTACAACTTGTTTACTTAGGAATCACAGCTACGCCAGCAATCTATCTCATCAAGCTACGTAGAACCAGGAGAGGAGTGACTCTTAACTGTGCTCTAGCAACAAGCCAGCTAGCCCTTATAGTGCCCGAAGCGAGATCGGAGTAGGAAGACCATGAGCGGAAAGGAAGAAAGCTTCAATGCCAAGAGCAGATAGGATAAGAGCTGCTACGGTGGGGGAACCTCACCCAGTCAATCCTAGGAGTAAGCCCTTTTACTAAGAAGTAGAAGTTCACATGCCCATCTTTTCTCTTGCATGCGCCTTCGTTCCTCATTAATTCAAATCAAAGTAAGCGACATCGCATCGGGAAGGGATAGGGATAGCGCATTTGCTTGGTTGGCGGCTGGCTAGCTTAGCTCTCGTCCTGTAGCTGCTGCTTATCGACCGGCAGATCGGCTACCAGCAGCAAGAATTGAATCTTTTGAGCCTTAAGTTCTTCTTGCCCCAGTTTCACTATCTCTTTCACTTCTTCGATTTCCCTTGAAGTAGGGGGTTTCAGTGGGAACGAGATCAATCAATGAAGGGTCAAGAGAAAGAAGAAAAGAAGACTAATCTGGATATTCCCGAAGATGCTTGACTTCGAGTTCTTGGAGTGACAGCTTTGTAAACAAGGGTCCCTTACTTTTGAGTTTCGAAAATGCATCTTTCTTTCTCCCATGCTTTTCATTGGTCAACAACCAAACCAACCACTAATTCTTCCTCACTACTAATCCAGGAAGAAGTCTTGTCTTCTTCTGTTCGGAATCCATTTTTATCAAAAGAAAGACTCAAAAATAATATAAATAATAATATATAGAATATAGAAAGAATTGCTTAAATAACTCAGCGATCTAAAATCATAGTCACGATCTACTAAAAGTAAAGTTGAGCACCCGGACCAGACAGAGGTGGCCGAGAATCTTATGTCAAAAGGACCAAGGATGATCTTTTCGGAAAGGAGGAGTAGGAGGAGTCAGACGGAATCAAATGATTACGAGATAGACAATGAGACCAGGGAGAGCAAGAGCACTTAGACAATTTACTTTGAGTACAGGAAAGTCTGCTGGTAGGAATTCCTCAGGGCGTATTACGGTTTTTCACCGAGGGGGTGGCTCGAAGCGATTGCTGCGAATAATTGATCTGAAACGAAGCACTTCCTCTATGGGCATTGTAGAGAGTATAGAATATGACCCTAATCGTTCTTCTCAGATCGCTCCAGTACGATGGATCAAAGGGGGCTGCCAGAAAAAAAATGAACACGATCGAGAAGTTTCGCTCCGCCGCGCAAGATCCTCGAACCTACCACGAACACCATCAGCGGCCTCTTTTCGTTCTCTTTCCTGCCCGGGAAGGTGGATAAAAGAAAGGTAGCTTGCTTCTCTCCTGACTGATGGCCGCTTATGTAGTGGTCGGCCTTCCTACCGGAATGCCTCCTTTGTCTTCGTCTAAGAGCGCCTTTGCTAGTAAGGGCGCAGGAAGCACAAAAACTTTAGTGAAGGACGTCTTCTTCTCTGCCTTCTCCTCTCCAAAGGCCAAGAGAGAGACTGCATCCCTTGCCTTCGCTAGCTCTTTTGGTTTCCCAAGGATAGCGGTAGCTGGGGCAAAGCCCGCTTTCTTCGCTCCGCGAATGAGACAGAAAGTGAGAGGAAAAAAAGCACGTTCTCTCTTTGCGAGGTCCAAAAGGGGAGAACGCATAGCATTCTCTGGGCACATAGGATCAAAGGTAAAGCAGGGCTTTCTTGGCAGAGTTTTAGGCGCAAGATACTTTAGGGCTTGTTGGAGCTGCTGGGGCATAACAAATCGAAGCCGAAGACGGATCAAGGTAACTTGCCTGCCAAGCCGATAGGCGAAAGGGCGAAGCAACTCAAAGCTCTCCGGGGTTTGAGGGCGAAGGATGGAGCGTGCAAAGTCGATCGTGCACCTGTCGTGTGACCCGTTGGTCCTAAGCAATGTCTTGCGCGAAGCGACCCACCTAGAAAGAGCTCTCCTTATCTGGGGCACTAAAATGAAACTTCGATCAGATGCGGGTATAAAATCCCGCCGCTGAGATGTCCAGCGGATTCCTGAGCCTTGACGAAAGGTCGGCCACCTTTTTTTACGGAGAGCAAAAGGCCCGGGGCATAGCAGGATGACCAATGTGAATGAGTGTAAGCTTCGTTGCCCGAACACGATTGGTGCTGACCACACTAGGTGCTACCGCGGTAGCAAGAGAGGCCAGGCAATGACAATTGAGAGGTTGTCACTGACATTTCTAGTCACACGGGAAGAGAGGTCCAATGGCAAGGCCATACGCCCGTTTGGGCTCCTCGCGGAGTATAGCTCACATCCAAATATCATATCTGATTGGGGAACGGGGCACACCCATGAAGCTCCGACGGAAAGGGAAGGCCTGCCAGGCCGTATGCCCATGGGTGCAGGATTCTTCGAAAAGCGCGGGCTGACTCGGAGACCTGGGACCTTGGCTTAGCAACGAATGAATATTCTCCTCGAGCTTTCTCCGCCAGCGGCTTATGTAGTGATCGGCCAGCTCGCTAAGCTTCGCTTTCCCTTTCCCGACTTGACTTTATTTAATAAGGGAAGGGGGAAAGTCTTCACTTAGTAGTCGGCATTATAGAAGCGGTTTGGTCGAGTCTACGAAGCTTTCCTTCTTGTAGTCGGCCCGTAATGCTCCCTTCATTTGCTTGCCTCTTCCTTACTTTTCAGAGAAGCATTTTACGACTATAAGGGGCGCTGTTCACCTTTGGAAACTTAGCTACACCGGTCACGACATCTTGTTGATATTGATTGAGGACCTTCGCTGACTGAATCATAAACCTAGAAAGTCACCGTCACTGGTACTTTTTTGACTCGATAGGTAGGTATTGTGGAGCTTGCGTAATGTAGTTGTAGTTAAGGTTGCATTGAAGTCTTTCTTTTTTTTAAGATCTACTGAACAAAGGCGAACGTGGTTCCCAAGGCGGGACGTCTGGCATAATGCTTGGCCTCCTGCGCTGGAAGCGAGACCCGAAGGGTGAGCTTCTGGCGGTTAGCTTCTAGAACTTATAATAGGCATTAGGCATTCTGAGCTGGAAGGAGGCAAGCAAAAGGCCGACCACTCTATCATTTTCCCATTTCGATGGGAAGGCCGACCCACTACAACGGACTCTATAACAAGTCATGAGCGATATCGAAACCAAGCTTCGCCTATAGGCTTTGGGATGAAAGCCAGCCGACGAAGGCCTATGATAGAGTAAGAAAAAAAGTACGTTAAAGTGACGAAGTAACTTAGCCGTCTACAAAGGGAAAGGCGTCGGTACGGAGTCACCGTCAGCTGTGGATATAGACTATACTATAAGGAACGGAGTCTTTAAACTATGGACCGAGACTACACTAAGGAACAAGGAAGCTTGACTGAGCAAAGAAGTCAAAGGAACGAAGCTGCTTCTCTAATAGCCCCGTTGAATAGGAGGGCGAAGGCTTTAAAAAAAAGTTTGATTTAGGGAGAGGGGGCTTCAAGTTCTTAGGAAGAGCCGTACGAGGCAAGCTCACGTACGGTTCGGGAGCCGAGCCCCTGCACAGGGGCTAGGTCAACACTTATATAATAGCCAGTCATCAATTAGAAGCAGGCAAAATGGTGATGAATTGCGATTGGTCCAAACCTTCGACCAGCTCCTTCTTGCATCCGCCCAGAATGACCATCCTAAGCCCTTATTCACTGTGTGAAGAACGGGGCAGTCCGCTGGAGTGTAGGCTTCTTGGCCACGCCCCCTGCTATAGATACGAAATACTTGAGATAAATTATCAAATAGGAATTGCATACCATTAGCCGATATACGTTTAGGAACATGGGTACATGAACCCTATAAAATTCTTCACTTTTAGCTTTGAATACTTATATATATCCTATTAATTCATTTCGCATCGGAAACGATTCTAGGAGAAGTTCGAATCCGTTCCGTTCGGATATTGATCGGTCTTGGTTGACATGGTTTACGTGTTACTGGTTCCCGGAAAGAGTTTAATATCTCCATTAGCGTCACCCTTTCTTACCCTGCCTTTTGACTCGTATTTTGTTTGTACACAATTACGGAGGCCTTTTCGACATTTGTTGCAACGTCTTCAATAGCATGCTCTTATTTCGTCTTTCCTTTAATAAAGTTATCAATTTGGTGCTTTTGATCCCCAGTTGCTATGGAGAACAAAGGACGAAATACAATCGATTCCTCCATTTAAGTGGTTCTCGCTTCTTCTTGTTCCTGTTCCTAACTCCTCCCCGGGTCGTTCCCAATGTTTTGGCACTTTCCATACTTCGTGGGTGCAACATCAACAATTCGCTCATGATCAAGTTACAACCTAAGATCTATGACCATATTATGTTAACTGTTTCGTATTTCGTTCATTCCATCGGTATGCTCCCAGGTACCTGTAATTGTGATCTGTTTGCCAGAACCAAGGGGTCTTTCTTTGGAAACCTTCACGAACAATCGTCGTTTTTTGATGGTTTTTCCGCTTCTCACAGCTGCTCTTTCCACACCTCCGGATATCTGGTGCCAAATCGTCGCCCGTTTCCTTATTTCTTTGATAATAGAGTTGGCTATTTTTGTGGCATCGATTGTACAAGTTCGTGAAGAGGGCTGGACGAGTGGAATGAGGGAGAGCGGCTCGATCGAGAAAAAAAGAAGAGTAGCCCCCCCTAGAACCTGGCAAAGTAACTATCAATGAATTCCAATAAAGATTATAACACACAGAGGACTCCTTACCAGCGGGATGAGTGATACATTCGGTGAGCGCCGTAGTTAAGTTTTCCTTATTCGTTAGCTATGCTAAAGGAATGGATTGTTCTCTTTAGGGAGTGCAGAATCAACTAGGGTTAACCTCTCTTTAGCCTATCTGTCCTCATGCTAGTCAATCTCAGGTAATTGGTCTATGGCAAAGGGGTTCCTCTTTCCTTCACCTGATGGCAAATACAAGAAGAGTTCGGCAACGCAAAAGCGGGCTTAATAATCAAATAATAAGATCGAGTTAAGAGAACTCGTCCCCTAAACTATCTAGTTAACGGCGGCGTGATCTTGCTGTAGGGTCAGAGCTGCACCGAAGAACAGTTATTATCGACTCGATGGCTCTGATCCGCGTGAATCAGACGGTGAGTTACTGGTTCTTGAATGGGAATCCCGAGCACCAAAGAGCAGAGTGATCCTCTGCTCGAGATAGGACCGGGTAAAGGGAAAAAAGACAGAAAAGACCATAGAATAGCAATAGGAATCGCTGCTATCCGACAACTTTCTCCGTGGAGCCCGCAGCTAAAGGTTAACAAAAGATTGTAGAACCCATGGACTTACTATCTAAACGATACGAGACGGGTCAGTCAAGGGCCACCAGAGGCACAAAGCTGGCGAATATCCGTGAGAGCGGAAGATATAAAAGGTATAGGTAAGTAAGGCTTGCACCTCTTTTAAGATCAAGGGCAATAAGACGTCGAAGGAAGAATCCGCAATGCTTTGACATTCCTTTTCAAATGAGTTGTGCCCAGCCCAGTTAGTCCACTACTACAGATAGTAACTAGCACAGAAAAACAAGATGGAATCAAATACGGTGTTAATTAATTTACTGAAGTGAAGCAAGGAACGTAGTAACTCGACTGGTTGGAGAGGAACTTTGTTATTAGGGTTGAATTTCCAGTCTTCGGGCCTCAACACCGGAGCTTATCCTGAGGCCTAGGTAGGTAGGTAGTGACGTCTCTTGCTGGGTCTTTCATAAGGAATGGTCCTGTTAGTCTTAATCCAGCGACTGGCCTTGCTCCGAGCCGATATCCGAAGTATGGTTCGCTCGCTAGTTATATGCTTAACACATGCATCTGAGGTCAGAGGTGCCGCTAAGGTGAACGCTCAGCTTCAACTCTGACTATATATTATATATAAGTGCACTGAAGGTTAACTATGTCAATCTACAACTCAATGTGATTGGCTTCGCCCGGGCTCAGTCTCTTTCGGCCGGTATGTAGAATCGTCGGAGCGAGCCGAGCAGGCGGAGCGGAAGTGGGCTGTGTAATCATTTTATTTTTGACTTTTTTTTTAATATAATATATAAGGGTAAGTAAGGAGCTGAAAACGAGTCCTTCGGAGGGCGAAGAAACTCATTAATTCATTTTGATGAGGGCCCCTCATTCAAATGTTATGCTCGTGCTTCCCTCACATTTTAGTTGATTATTTCCAATTTCGAGAGTGAGATTGGATCGAAACCAAGTAGTAGTGCGGAAGCCAGTACATACATGGCTAGTTTCCAGGCAAGCCATCCATATTGGCATAACCTTCTTCTATGCCATCTAGCTTCATAGCCGATAGTTTCCGTTGATCATTATCTTCATCCATCGGATCAGCTCCTTCTTTTCTGATTTTTTTCAATGACTGCTTCTTATGCTTGCCCTCGTTCTTCTCTCTTCTCCTAGACCCACCCCCCTTACTGTCTGTTTAGGCCCCCTGCCAGGTACTCCAGTCTCATTGCGTACCGTCGTCTGCATCTTCTTGCCCTGTTTTCATAGTTGTTTGCTTTTCTTATATGGATTAGGCTTGGTTAAAAGCGTACCGTCAAGCAAGAAAAGGAACCGTAAACTAGCTTTACCGAGTTGGCTTCTTCGTATGAGCCCTAGCAGCATCTATTCCTTACTCTGTTTTCTGCTTTCAAGCCCCTAAGTAGGATCGTCTAACGAAGTCAGGTACGAGGGAATATGTTAATGCAAAAGAGGCGAGGAGGCTGGTGACCAGAGAAGGTCTGTGATGGAAGCAATTCCTGGCTTTCTGGTCTGTGATAAAAGCAATCTCTCTCCGGTCGGTTCGACTGTTAATGGAAAAATGAATAGATCCTTAGGAAGAAAAAGGCTCTTTTGCTCTTGTGTAGAATCAGTTGTTACAGAAGGAGCGGTTTTCGTTTCGCAATGGAATCAGAATTAGCTACGATCAATGAAAATATCGTAGTATAGTAAGAGCCAACGAAGTAGCTGTAACGTGAACAGCTAAAGCTCCTTACCTTATATGGGCTGCACCGCGCTGAATGATCAAATCCCATTTATTCTGATTTTTTTACATTCCAACTCCCATGCCTTTCCGTTGGTCAACAACCAACCGTCGATTTACCTTTTCCTTCATTTTGAGAACAAGTCTCTCTTGGGGGGAGCAGAGCATGCAAAATCGAGCAATAGATGGATCTTAGAAGAATTCCACTTTGAACGGCACGACTCTTTCGATTTTTGCGCTGGCATTTGAGTTGTCTCCCCTCCTCTTTCAATCGACACACTCGACGCAGATAGCTCCGGTGGCCCCGGCTTCTGCCTCTATCAGGCTTAGGCTGCCCCCACCACCACAGAGCCACAGCATGGAGTAGCTGCTCGCCCGCGCTACAACCAATCAAAATTTTATACGGATCGATATATGATGATGCTAAACCGAGATAGAGAAAGAGGGCGAAGAAACTCATTAATTCATCGATGAGGGCTGCCTCGCCTCCCTTTGTTGGCTCTTCGAGACAAAAACACTCATAGGAATGGTGCTAATTCCCATGTTCCTTCTAGTCTCGTTTGGTTTCGAAAGCCTCCCCCTCCCTGTCTCTTACTCTTTGAAAGCTGTCATCCTGGATTTATTTTTGAATGGTTTCTTTGTTCTCTTATTTGGATTGAAAGAAAGACAAAACTTCATTTTCTTCGACGAATTTCGGCTATGACCAATGCACCAATAGCTGAATAGGCGTAACAAAGCTACCTGAAAAGGCAAGGTGCACCTTGGGATTGAAATCGACGAATTGCGTTTTGCCCGAGAGATTTATTTAGAAAGATTATCCATCGGATAAAGAATGCAAAAATAGAAAGAATATAAATAAAGGCGCATACACGGGAAGGGGGCACCACTACTTCCAGGGGGAGACTAGCCTCATTACTTCTTAGTGGGCGAGAGGTGCGCCTAACCCACCTACCCACTCATAAATCACGGTGTTCAGCTGACTTGAACTGATAGACCCTTATTGTATTGGAATTTAGCGCCCATCTTTTGACTGTTGTCAACGAATCTCTTCAATGTTCGATTCTACTCTATGTTAGAACATTTCTGTGAATGCTATTCTAATCTAAGTGGTCTTATTCTGTGTCCTGTGCTAGGAAGCATTACTCTTCTTTTCATTCCAAATTCAAGAATACGACCGATACGATTAATTGGTCTGTGTGCCTCTCTTATTACTTTTTTGTATTCTCCTGTTCCTCGGATACAATTCGACTCTTCTACGGCCAAATCTCAATTTGTGGAAAGCCTTCGATGGCTTCCTTATGAAAACATCAATTTTTATTTGGGTATAGACGGTATCTCTTTATTCTTCGTGATATTGACCACATTTCTGATCCCTATTTGCATTTCAGTGGGTTGGTCTGGTATGAGAAGTTATGGGAAAGAGTATATTACAGCATTTTTAATTCGTGAATTTCTAATGATCGCCGTGTTCCGCATGCTAGATCTTCTACTATTCTATGTTTTTCCCGAAAGCGTGCCAATCCCTATGTTGTGCGGAGCGGAGTATCTTATATTCGCTGGGAGAAAGCTTTTCCTCTGCAGGGGCCTTGTGCAGTAAACCCCCTACGGGCGGTCGTCCGTCGTCGTAAAGTAGTCCCCGCGAAGCTTTCGGGAAGAGGGGTAGTCTTGTGTGTAAGCATAGCATTTCTGGTCGAACCCGCCCAATCCAACTAAGAAGAACCGAACCTGACAAACACATCTTTTTCCTTTTGGGAGGGTACTCCGAGTATAGTGGGTACCTCGTAGGACCTCGACCCGCCTACTCGGGTCTTGTATGGATATGCAGGAAGGGGTGCTCCTAGGTGTGTGTAGGGGTTGTGTTTGTTCGCGAGAATGGATTCCTCGTCAAGTCTGTTTGGGGGGTGTGGACACACTTGCGCGAATTCAGGTAACGGCTACAAGGGAGAAATCAAAAGGAAACTGTACCCGACCAGGGATGGACGTAAACTCGTAAGCTACCGAGGTTAGGGATAATCGTCCAGGTCTTATTGTGAAACAAAAAAGCCGCCCCGCCACAGCAAGCGGGTTGGTTCCTCTGTCGTCGCCGGATAGCTCTTGGCGAGGTACTTTTGTCACTCGACTGAAAGGAGAGGAGACCTTAGGATAAGTTGCTAAAACAAAGGGGAGTAGAGGATCGACCCGTTCAGTAGAATTCCGAAGAAAGACTGTTGACAGCTGGTGGAGACATTTCTTTGGCCCCCGTCAAATCAAAAGGAAATGCGGGCAGGTTTAAGCTCGGCAGAGGGTTCGAGAATAGGGTCCTGCCCTTCAGATTCTCAGAATAAAAAAAGAGTTCCAAACCTTTATGCATGCACCTCCGTATAAGTGCTGCGTACAAGTTCCGGCCAGGATAATTGGGAAAGATCAAACCCGAAAGAACCGCTCACATCACAGTAGTAGTAGCGTAAAGGCCGTAAGTCGGGTAGCGGCCATAACATAAGGTAAGGGGCTATTACTTTCACATCTCTCCTTCTGTCGTACTATAAGAAAGAGAGATCCGCTGCGTGAGCAACCCGACTGTGCGTTACATGTGCTCTACAGGCCGCACTCCATCTTTCTTCTTAACAAGCCCATTTATCTTTAGATTTTGAAGACGGGCGTTGCGTTCGGTTCGAAAGGTATGGTTTTCAGTATGTCTCCAGATAGGGCGCCCCACTAGTCCGGCTAGCTAGTGAGCGGTTCTTTCGGGCGAGAAGCAGGCCGGGCCCTACGGGCGGGGGCATCTCCCGCAACGAAAGCTGCATAGTTCGCCACCACCCGAAAAGTAAAAGATTAGAGAGTCCAGACTAAAAATACATGCATAGATAGTGATCTAATGACAAGGGCCGACGACGGAAGCTCGGGACGGAAGCCGTATGATGCGGAAAGTCTCACGTACGGTTCCCTGAGAAGGGAGTGGCTACCTACTGGAGCTCGACCAAGCACCCCCGGTCAATTTCCGCTTTGGGGCCACCCCTTACTCTACCATTATTATAGGAGTATGGGGTTCGAGACAAAGAAAGATCAAGGCAGCATATCAGTTTTTCCTTTATACTTTACTTGGATCTCTTTTTATGCTATTAGCTATTCTGTTGATTCTTTTCCAAACAGGAACCACCGATTTACAAATATCATTAACCACAGAATTTAGTGAGCGGCGCCAAATCTTTCTATGGATTGCTTCTTTCGCCTCTTTCGCCGTCAAAGTGCCTATGGTACCAGTTCATATTTGGTTACCTGAAGCTCATGTAGAGGCACCTACGGCAGGATCCGTCATCTTGGCAGGAATTCCTTTAAAATTTGGAACCCACGGGTTTTTAAGATTTTCAATACCCATGTTTCCCGAAGCGACACTTTGTTCTACTCCTTTCATTTATACTTTAAGCGCGATTGCTATAATATATACTTCCTTGACCACTTCAAGACAGATCGATCTAAAGAAGATCATTGCTTACTCCTCAGTAGCCCATATGAATCTGGTGACTATTGGTATGTTTAGTCGGGCGGCGGCCGTTAGGTCACCTATTTTGAGTTATGGACACACAAGGCCAAAACATGTGTGTCGGGCGTGCGACCCATCAACCTACTAGCAATGGGGGAGAAAACATAGCATGTCGCAACAAAAGCTTGATTCGAGGCGTCAGCAAAACACTGCCGTCTGTTCCCTTCAGTCCCTTAGCGCCCCGGGACGGGAGTGGGGGACGGCTCTACGCGCAGGCAACAGCAGCACCGGCTCCACGAAGTCTGAATCGAATCTTTCTGTTGGCTTTCCCAAATTCATTCGTAAATAAAAATCAAAGGGCTAGAAGCGAGCGCTTCTAGCTGCTTCGCCTGCTTCTTCTTATTATGGCGGCTATGTTGGCGTGGCGAAAATGAACGAAAAGCGAGATGAACGTGCTATTTTCAAATCGATTGATAGATTGATCTGTTCTGATAGATCTAAAGAGTAGAAATAGATAGAGAATAGAGAGGGAATCAATAATAAGGTCTTTGAGCCTATTTCTATCTATTGATGAGACAACTATCTATTCTTGATCCATCAGAAAGAAATCGATATGTATCTGATGGAGTCTTCTACATCGTACGTAGAGCGCCCAAGCGCTTTTTGGGCCAGCTCAGTTCTCTTATCCATCGGTCCAATGCACTGGGCTCATCTCATGGAGGGAAAAGCCAAAATGTAGTTGTCTTGTTGTTGTTCGCCGCCTCGACGCATTCCCTTCTCTCCCCGGCATCGTCCCACACAGAAAGAAAGAGCGCGGAGCCCCGGCCCGAGCCGTAGGTCCGCTAACGTAAAGCGAGGAGTTGAGCCTGAACTGGCGAACCGAAGTCACTTTCGGAACCATACTTCCTACAGCTAACATGTGCCCAGTCCTGCGGAAAGGCGCAAACGAACGTGAGCTGCTATACCGAATCCCCCGCTGGCCATCGGGGACCGAGTGGTAAGGCCATGATCTGCAGGGGAACGGATCACTCATTCTTCCATTGGGGACAGGTGCACGAACGACAACTCCAAACGTCACACATCCGCCGCCTACTTACCGTTTAGGTGGCACCAGCGAGATCCAGCTAAGGAAAAAGAGTGTCGCGGCTGCTCCACTCCGCCGCAGTCTCATGAACTTCACTTCGTTGCCTTCCCGCGCGCAAAGCGAATGGGCGCTGTGCTGTGGGTCAGTTTCGGGGCGGGGGGCGCAGAGATACCAGAAGAAATGATTCATTTGTTTGGATCGACGAGCTTTTTCAGCCCCAAAACTCAGAATCAATGTAATGTCTGTCCATAAACATCTATTCTATCTGTATATATAGGGGATCTCTCTATACATATCAAAGTCTTTTATGGCATTGATATGATCGCCTAGCTGTAGCCGCATATCACAGCTGCGCTCAATATGCGGATTTCTGTTGGATCAGATCTTTTCTTTCGCTTTGACGGAAGCTTTTTGACCTAGCGAAAAGCACTTTCGCGCAAGCAAAGTAGAAGCTTTGCCAGAAGCAAGACGAGGAAGTGGAGCTGTCGTATAAGCGGTAGCTTCCCCCGACCGACTAAAATACAAGAGTCGCGGCCTACTTTGATTGCGAAGGGGTTTGGCAACAAGCAAACGGCTTTCTATCATAGTTGCAAGGGTTCAAAACCTTAGTTCGCTGCTTTTCCCAGGACCAGAGAAGGGCTTATACTGCTCGCCTTTGTTTGGTTTGATATATTCATTCAGTCAAAATACAAACTACAACAAAGTGGAAGTGGAAGGGCCGCTATAGAAGCTAGAACTTGCTTTATAAGTCGGCCTAACCAAAGCGTCACGACAACAAAAAATTATCCTTATGAATGGAATCTTAAGTAGGGGGGGCTTTGACCGCCCGCCTACCAATCAAAGAGGCAGAGAGTAAACGTAAGCTCACCCGTAAGCTCGAAGAGAGCTTCCCTTCATTCGCTTCGCGGGAGCCGCACAAGCACATAGCTGGAAGTCAGAGGGCCCATACTACCTGCCTAACCCTTTGTTCCGAGGGACCGTAGATCGGAAAGCACCCCATTTATCCAAAAGAGAAGGGAAGGGGCCTATGTATTTGCATGACCCCTGCGGATTTGACCCTATCCCGGAAG